ATTGGCACTAAACCAATACATAACGAAAGATAAAACTTGGGGTTACATATCCATTGGTTGTAAGACTTGTAGTTATTCCTAGAACTCCGGATATGACCAAAACAAGTTGATGTTTGTGCAGTATACGGGAATAAAAATTCGGGTTAACTCAAAGGAAATATAACTCGATTTTAGACATATTTATTAGCTCAAATTAATTAATCAAGCAAAGTCCTTTAGTCCTTTGTTAGTTTATTTAAGCATATTCATAATTACAAGTCAAACCAAACGGTTAGTTTAATCACATGTAAGCATGCACAAGCAAATAATGCACAAGTAGTCAAATAGTCACAACATGATGCAATGAGTTTGCAGCCTAACCATGGCTCTAGTTCTCTAAAGTTAGGGATATGGGTTAGTCAAAGAGGGTCCATGGTTATGAGTCCTGATGCACCGCGCGGAAGCCTTACCTTTGGAAGGGTTGGCGCGTGTGGATGGGACACCGCGAGTTAAACCCGCTTTCCATGGTTTGGTGAATTCAACATTCTCGGATGTACCCTTCGTTGCCAGGAGAGTTCGATTGGGTAGATGGAGCATAAATTCCCAGAGGGTTATGTCCATATGTAGAACACATATAGGTTTCAGAAAAGAGAGAAAAACTTAATCAGGAAGTAGAATCTAGCCAACAGTGCTAGAATAAGTCAAAACAAGAAGAAGAACACGACGCGAGACAACAGAGTCTGTCGAGAAAATAACTCTGTCGCCAGATGACAATTCTTTCGCCAGGCGAAGAACTATGTTTTCTAAGTGCTAGTTCCTACATGCCTCAACAACTTTCTATGTTCTTAGAATATTTCAGTTTTCGCAGTATTATTTCGATTCTAGCTGTGAAAGATATTTCACAAATTTCCTACGTATAAAAATCCTATGTTTTTTATTCATTATGGATGGTAATTCCAATGAAAACCTTTTTTATGCTTATGCCAATAATGTCAATCAAAATTACGCACATGAAATACTTAGAACTTTTCGAGTCTCATCCACTCATTCTAAATCATTGCCAAATTAAATTATAGGAATTAAAATAGAAATCCTCCCCAGTGGAGTCGCCAAAAAACTGTAGGTAATATTTTAAATATTATCCCAAACTTGAACCCCACGGTGATCATACACTTAAGCATGGTGGCGTCTAAAGGGAAGGAAGCTAGAGTAAAAGAGTCGCCAACAAGTTTTAGGGACTTGTAAACCGTTCATAGGATAAAGGTTACACCCCTTAACGATCCAGGAGATCGTTAACTCCAATAGGTCTAGAACCATAACTGGTGTTCGGGGATGAAGGTACAAATTCAATCTAAAAGAGAAAGAACTCGCACTAATAATAGGCATCTACCTTATTCTACTCGTATTCATGTGCGCTTTCTGACTAACATGCAATCAATAGGTTTATCCTAAACTCGTTTAATCTATGTTGGTTGAATATTAATGCACAAATAAATCTATTATTGGTGATCGCTTGAATTATACTTATATTAACCTAAACAAGATTATTAATTATCTTATTAAGCGTGATTTCAAGTACAAATTCCCTTTAAACATGCATAAAAGGCATGATTAAGCAATAACAATAAATATATGAAAAAAAATAATAATAATCATAATAACAATCATAATAATATCATCATTAAAGCTTAATAATAACAGTATGATCCTAGGCATGATAGTAATAAGATTAATAATAAACCCTAGCATGTCACTAAATATCAAAGATCAATTAGACCTGACATGACAGTAACATGATATTAGGAAAGAAATAGGATGCATAATAGAAATCATAAATGATATAAGAGACTTAATTATCACCCTAAACATGATAGTAGGAAGCAATAAAACATCCTAACATGATACAAGGAATCAACAAAATAATCTAAGTATGATTTCTATATCAAAAGATCAATGAAACAATTAAATTACCTACTTTGTTGCCTCGTACTTCTTTCTAATAAAAAAATACACACGTTAGTAACTTTAAGGAAAACTATAAATCAAAATAATTAAATTAAATAATTGAAATAGAGAGTTGGAACCAAACCCTCATAAATATCAAACCTTTCATGCCTAGGGCGAAGGAAAATTCGAACTTGGATAGGTGTGTGTAGGGAATATTTCAAGCGTTAACCCCTAGCTTGAACCCCACTCTGATCATACACTAAAGTACGGTGGCGTCCAAAGGGAAAGAAGATAGAGCAAAAGAGTCGCCAACAAGTTTTTTTTAGGAACTTGTAAACCGTTCACGAGGTGAAGGTTACACCCCTTAACGATCCAAGAGATCGTCAACTCCAATAGGTCTTGAACCATGACTGGTAGTTCGGGGATTAAGGTACAAATCCAACCTAAAAGAGATTGAACCTGCCCTAATAATAGGCCTCTACTTTATTCTGATCGTATTCATGTACGCTTTCTGACTAACGTGCAATCATTATAATTAACCTAAACCTGTTTATCGATGTTGGTTAAATATTAATGCACAAATAAAACTATTATTGGCGACCACTTGAATTATAATCATATTAACCCTAACAAGATTATTAATTATCTTAATAAGCGTGATTACAAGTACAAATTCCCTTTAAACATGTATAAAAGGTGTGATCAAGCAATAACAATAAATATATATATATAAAGCAACATAATAAATCATCATAAAAATAATTATAACAATAATCATAATAATAATAATCATGATCATGTTAAAGCATAATAGCAAGATCCTAGGCATGATACTAACAAGATTAATAACAAACCCTAGCATGTCACTAAGCATAAAAATCAAAGCTTTAACCCTAACATGATACTAACAATCATAAATATTAGGAAGAACATAGGAAGCATCATACTTTTAATCATACTTAATATTAAAATAACCCCAGACATGATACTAGGAATCAAAATAACAAGTTAAGCATGATTTTTATATCACAATATCAATTAAACCATTAAAGTACTTACTTGGATTCCTCGTACCTCTTTCTAATAACAAAATACGCACATTAGTAACTTAAAGGAAAATAATAAAACAACAATTAAATTAAATAATTGAAAGAGAGAATTGGGACCAAACCCTCAGAAATTAAAATCTTTCACGTCTAGGACGAAGGAAACTTCGAATAAGGCTAGGTGTATCTAAGTCTTGCGAATGCAAAATTTTGTATTTGAGAAAAGGCTAGTTTAGAAAAGAGAGAGAGAGAGAAAGTAATCAAGAGAATCTTGATGAGAGTTGGTGAAAAATGGTGAATGAAAACGGGGTTTTTAGAAAGCTATTTATAGTGCAAATCAACCAAAAAGATAAAAAATCAAAACAGAGTTCAGACGCGTAAAACCAGGTTAGCGCCATACGCTAACATTAGCGCCAGGCGCTAACGCTAGCGCCAGGCGCCAAGCTTAGCGTCAGGCGCTAATGCTGGTGTTTGGCGCTGACTAAGTTATTGATGCGTTTTCTAAAATCAGATAGAAATTGAAGTACAGGAGGATAAAATTGTATTTTCCTAAAAAATATTCTTTTATTCTGATAAAAACTCTAAAAAGTCAACAAAAGTCAATTTATCAATGCAATTGAATTAGGAATGAAAAGAACCTTCTAGAAGAATCTAGAAGACTAAAACCATTCCTAATTGCATTAGGAATGATAAACGCATATTAGGCCCTCCTATAGATCATTGGGCCGCATATAAGGCTCAAACCGGGCGCAGTTTAGTAATTTGGCCAAACTTCCTCAATATTCATCGGAATTGGGCTTATAATATATCGTTGGAAAGCTCTTTTCAAGCTCTATCCAAATACATTACTATTGGACTCATATCATGGACCAAAAAAACTGGATTGGCTGTTTTTTTATAATAGGTTTTCAAAAATAGAGAAAAGAGAAAAGAAAATAAAACTATCCGCAACACTAAACTTTCCACACTTTCACTTCATTCGATTATTATTTGAATTGAAAATAACTCATCACTGGGTTTGGTTTTGGGGAGACACAAATTGGTGTCTACAGAAGGCCCCAATTAGACTAAGTTTGGAGAAACGCAAGTTTCGAAAACAAAAGTCAAAGTATCGATAGGGACGGAGAATGATTCAGAACGTTCTGCGATCCTAAATCACTCTTGTAACGCCGATAGCTGCAACTTAGCATTAGTTAAACAAATAAAAGAGTTAAGAAACGCGTATCTTGCACCATCGAGCACACGTCTCTAAAAGTAACCAATTTGTTGCTGCTTTTTGTTGTTTTGATGACCTCCTGCAAGCTAGAGAATGTCATCTTGCTTGAAAACTGCTACACTTGAAATTGCAATGATAATCTTCCGCAAGCCAAGGAACACTATTGAAGATTGCTTCGCTTGAAACGATCCTCTTCCCCTTTGTGACCATCTTCCACATCTTAGGGAACACGATCGAAGACAACTTCGCTTGAAATCACCTTCAGTTTTTTGTGACAACTCTCCGCAAGCTAGGGAATGCTGCCGAAGATATACTCGCTTGAAAATATCCTCATTTATTGCGATAATTTTTCAAAGAAAACCCGTCATCGGTTGGGCACTACCATACGCCGCCAAACTCAACGCGGTACTATTTGCATGCCCCGGGGCTAGAAGTGCACACCGGGTGTCTTCCTACACAAGTATATATATAAAAAGAAGATAGTTAAATAGGACTTTTACAACAGCATAGATATAACAAACCGGTTCATTAAGGTAGAGGGTTACAAATCACTTGTAACTTTGGAAATTCATGCGGTGTTGGATTTTCAAGCTCCCTCGAGTCCGCATGTGTAGGAGTAGGAACCTGCAACAGTACATCAATCATTGCACCTCAAATCTCAATTAACTCGGTATTTTAAAACTTTTAATAACCCAATTGATTTTACCTCAGGTGGCACATCTTCACCACGTATCTCATCTCCTCCATGTCTACCACCTTCTCCTTGTCCTTTTGGTTTAGAACATGAGTCGACTGGGGTACTAGTGAGGAACGGCAAAGCCGGTAAATTCATCAGCTTCGCCCAAGCATTCAATTCACCAACTAACTCTTTGCGTACTTGTTCCTTAATTGATGCCACCTTGGAATCCAACTCCCCCGGTAAGTTAACACTGGCTTGAGATCTACCCGATTTTGTGTATTCGGGACCCATCACCTTATTCCATCCAAGCAATGACCCTCCCGAACCTACTACTCGTCCTGGATGGTATGACCTTCCCAAAGCCATGGTGAAAGGGTCATTCTCCACACTTGGTTCAAATTTGCCCTCCACCATCTCTTGAGTGTGCTCAAGCTATAGCATAAGGAAAAATGAGGTCAGTAAAACAGTTAATGGTTTGTACAGTGATTAGATGCAAAATTGACTTAATTTCAACAATTCATAGGTAACTTACAAGCTTATCCGCCAGTTTTTTGGCTTCCGGACCCTTGATGAACCATTTTCCGGTTTTCTTATCAAACGAATGGAGAGAACAAAAGAAATCACCGACACGACTCATCAATGTAGTGATCGTGGAACTAGAGGGTTCCTTCGATGCCACTAGAAGCGCTTTAGGGTATAAACCCAAAGCGGCCCACTCAGGTCTCTTTTCAGCAAAAGTCTTAGGACCCATACGATGGACGTATTCCTTCTTTTCTGCATTCGCTTGATTTTGCTCTCGAAGTTCCTACAAAACAAAAAATGTTAGTCTCTTTAATACAAAAAGTGTCAAGCTATTATACAATTGAGATCAGATTTACACAAACTTACAATGGCTTTCTTTTGACTCTTCATTCTAACGAACTCTTCCCAATCATCTTTTGACACGGTCGGCCATATTTGCCACGGGAGACGGTTATCCTCTTTGGCATTCTTCTTCTTTGTTTGCACCTTCTTCTTCTTGTGGATCGACCGATTAGTCAACTTGGTCTTAACACCTCTGAATCTTTCTGCTAATAAAGAGACAAACACCCTTTTCTTCTCGGGATCATTAGGAATAGAAAACTGCCTCTGCAAGCACAAATTAAAACCGATTATTAGTTTCTATTTAGTAACAACCATAAGGTTAAGGTATCTTAAATTTTCTAAATGTGCCAAAAACACACTTACCCTTGTATCATCCCAAAATGCTTGAATCAAACCCGGAGGTACTTGCCGCATTACAAGCGTAATGGGGATTTTCCGCGAACATATGCCAACTTGATTAGCATATTGTCGACGCCATTTGGGCCCGGGTTGGCCTTTGTTGTCATACTCCAAGACCATGGGACCGTCCGGTTTTTTAAAGCTTCTCGTCGGACCCCTTGTTTTTCTTTCAGCCGGTGCCTTTTCCCCCCCTCCACCACCTGTGTTGTTTTCATCTTGTCCTTGGCCTTGACTTTCAGGAGTCGGGTTCTCACCAACAATCTCACGTGCTGTATTTACAATGGCCGGTGCACGTTCAGCTAACATTTCAAAATCGTCAAGCCTACGCTCGAACTCATCTTGAGCCTGATCCTCTGGCTCACCCAAGTCATCCTCCTTATTCACATCATAAGGCACATCACTATCATCGGAGTCGTCATCCTCGTACTCGTCCTCATACTCATCATCGTCAATGTCCTCTACCAAAGGAGGATCATGATCGTCCGCCATGAGATATAAGCACCTGTCAAAGCAATCATAAAACAATATTAGTGTATAGTAAAGTATATGCATGATAGTTATTATGGTTATGTAGAAGTTATTTTAGCCATTTTCACCTACTTATTATGGTCCTATAACCTTGTATATGCATGATTATGAGTACAAAATGCCAATTTCAATCTACATATGGAAAATAGGTTGTTAGAATGAATAAATGTTAGTTCATACACAAAACAAAGGAGTTGGGTTAAGTAGAATCTATTTATGCCAGTTTCACCTACATATGGTCCTATAACCTTGTATATGCATGATTACGAGTACACTTAGGCAATTTCAAACTACAAATATATATTATTTTTGCCTACTTATGCTCATGTATACATGATAACTAAACTATATTTGCAATGAAACCATTACTAACTTTTAATCAAACTACCTCATTATGAAATTCCGTCGTTGTGGTCTGATCGCATATAACCTGCTTCGTTGTCTATTTCATTTAGTACAACAGGTCTAGGAACAGTGAAAGGTGCTGAATCATCAAACGCATCATATTCTTCCTCATCCTCAACATCTCCAATGCCTAGGATTCTTCTTTTTCTAGCTAGCACTATAGACCATTTTGAATCCATTGGGTCAGTTACGTAGAACACTTGCTTAGCTTAAGATGCAAGGATAAATGGTTCCGCGCTATCATTAAAGTGGCCAAGATCTACAAGAGTAAAGTCCTCAGGTTTGACGTTATGCCTGATATTATGAACCCACTTACACTTGAAAAGAGCAACCGTGAAGTCACAATAATCAAGCTCCCATATTTCTTGAATTCGACCATAGTATGACAACTCTGCATCGACAGGTGATTTATCCTTAGAACTTGCAAACTCCCTTGACGATACCACAAGAGTTACACCACTGTTTTGGGTGGAGGAAGATTTCAAATCACGAGCCTCGGTCCAAAAAGTGTACCCATTGATGTCATATCCCTCAAATGAACGGACATCAACCCGAGGACCGTACGCAAGCCACCGTACTGTATCGGTCACATTAGTATCATTCAATCCACTCATTACTCGTTCACGAAACCAATCAACAAATTTCTTATTATGCAACTGCATAAGTGCCTTTTCCCCTTTGGATGGAAATTCGGCACGCAAACAAGCCATGTGCTCGTCTAAATATGGGTGCACATCTGAAACATGGTGCAACACATAAAGGTGTGCTTGTAAGAAATGATCTCGTTCTGGTGACATTCATTTCGACCCAATTGTGCCATGACCATCAAGTCTACCTTCATGTCGAGAAGTAGGAAGACTAATAGGCTGAGCAAGGGCTATGTAGTCCGCCACAAAGTTACCTATCTCCTCACCCACTATCCCTTGCATTATACTTCCTTCAGGGTATTACCCACATATGTACCCAGAGAACATAGTGAGGAAATGGTAAGCCAAGATGTTCCTTAAAATCGAAAAGAAAACATACATTCACCACCTAAGTGAGAGTACACATTCAAGAACAGTCCCAACCGGGGACTATTCAAGACTTTGACCTAATGAGAAAGCCTTGAACGGGTATCTAGGCATATGATGATGCAATTCAAGTATTCTATATATTGTTGTATTTATTTGCAATTAAACAATACACAAGTTGCAATTTCATGAATAAACTTTTATTAAATGGATGAATAGAAAGAAAGATAGGTAAGTAAAGTTTAGTAGTCATACCAATATAGAAACTACCCACTTGAGCTCAATATGTAGTCCTCAAGCTAATTAAACTCTTGCTTCAATTCACATATGAATCTACATATTAAAAAAAACAAAACTTAGCAACGTCACTAATTCTCTAATATATTCACAAATCTCTAATGTATTCACAATTCTCTAATTTATTCACAACTAATTAAGTGACAATATCACTATTTCTCTAATTTATGCACAATTCTCTAATTTAATCACAATTCTCTAAATTATTCACAAATCTATAATGTAATCACAATTCTATAATTTATTCACAATTTTCTAATTTATTCACAACTAATTAGAAGTAAGGTCACTAATATACACATTGAAACATACAAAAAATTGACTAAGGAACAAGGTAATGCAAAATTACTAATATATTCAATCGAGGATCAAGAGTTAAAGCATTCAATCACAATAATTTGACTAAGAAATCACCATCTGGAACAAAAAGAAAAGTGCATGGAGAAAAATAAACTCACTCTTTTTCACCAAGCTTCACTGTAGTTCCTCCATATTCACGGTATCCCCTTCTTTGACAGCAACAGGAATATGATTCCCCGTCTTGTCACGAAGGCCAGGTCCAACAACAAGAACTTTGCCAGAATTCAGCTGAAATCGAATATAAGCAACAAAATTCAGTAATAAATCCTTAAACTGATTCAATTATCAAAAACCAAACTCCCCAAAACAAGGCATCATAAACAAATTTCACAGCCAGCAATGTAGCACAAACATACAATTTTAATCCCAACAATGTAGCACAATTTTAATCTAAAATAAGATGAACCCATTAATTTTCTTTGCATTTCATATACAATCTAAGCACAATTTTAATCTAAAATAAGATGAACCCATTACCTTGAAAAGATGAACTTACCCTAAATTAGTTGGAGGTGGAAGAAGCTAAGGGGATGAGAGAATGAAAAGACCCTCGCTGGTGGAGGAGGCGGTGCGCGCTGGTGGAGGTGGAGGCGGTGCGCGCTGGTGGAGGTGGAGGCGGTGCGCGCTGCAGCTGTTGTTGTTTGTTTCTCACAGAGAAAGGCGGTGGAGGGTAGGGCAGGGCAGGGAGATTCACGGCGGTGGTTTAGGCACCTGAAAGCGCCAGTGAAGGTGGAGGCTGTGGTGGAGGGAAAAGGTGGAGGCACGACTACTCTGAGTGAGAACGAAAGAAGGGATGAACGAATGAAGGGATGAACGAATGAAGGGAAGGAAAGAGAAAGAGATGAAGAAAAGAGGAAAAGACGCAGTTTTTTTGTTTTGAATTTGGCACCGGTTCAAACCGGTGCCTTTTTTATTTTTGGCACCGGTTCAGGCTGAACCAGTGCCTTTTCTCTTTTGGTAAAAACCCCCCCGATTCTAGACCGGTTTTGGGCACCGGTTTAGGCTAAACCGGTGCCATATGGGGGGTGCCTAATGCTTTTTTTCTACTAGTGCTTGCTGCCGCTGTTGCTCGGTTTTTCTCCGAATTTTGAACTTGGTCGTTCCTTTCAACCAAATCCGCTCAAATATTTTGTAAATTAAAGCACTTCATCTCTAATTTACTGATCCATGTAACTCCTCTTATCTTGGAGGAATCTCCTGTATCATATTCGCGGTTTTTTCGAAAAAAAAAATCCGGGAATGTCCTCGCTTGCTGTGCACCTGCATTTATATCTTTGACCATAAGACTTTGCTTATTTTTATTTAGGGTTGACCTAAGACTTAGTGTTGTTTGACTCATTGACTTGTCGTGACTCAAGGTATGAACTTGACTCGTTGTGATTGACTCGAGGTTGACTCGACTTAAAGTGTTTGACACATGTGTTAGACTCAAATCAAGGTGATATCATGACATGACTCAACATGTACATGACTCGTGTGTGCATTTTATTGTGATCGTGGGACTCAAAAAATGCAAAAAAGAAAAAAATTTCCGTCATTTTTGTGGAGGGTACCGACTTTCTCCCGAAAAAGAAAGACGCGAAAAAAGAAAGAAGCGAAGTTTTTGAAGGTGCAAGTTGAATGAGCTTAGTCCGTTAAATGTTTGCGTTTGATACTATCTCTCAAGGTGCAAGGATTAATTCATCTTAGGCTATCTTAATTGTTGACTAAAGCATTTGGGTAACTTAGGCACGGAGGCTAAGCACTTCATACTTCGATGCAATGATGATTATGATTGATGAGTGATTTTGACATGACAAGGCATGATTCAGTGTTATGTTAAGATTTCATGACAAAGGGTTCCTAAGGGAAAGAATATTTGGTCATGTATCTGTGTAGTGTGTGATAGTGACGCTAAAGTTAGGCCGCAAGAGCTAAGTGTGTAGAAAGATATTATTTTTAGAAGAGTAAAATGATGGTGACTCTAAGGCTAGTCAAGCTAATGATGTAAGGATCAAGCCCCTAATTCTAGCTCTAAATGAATAGGGATGAGCACAGGGGACCCCTTAATATGATCATGGTGTGAGTGTGTGAAAGTGAATATGAATGCAGTTTTATTACGGCCGCACCTCGATGTGAGGTTGCCTACGTATATGTTAGGAATC